AATCGACTACATTACTTATATATGAATTATAATTTTAGCCGTTCTAAATTTAATAGAAATATATTTTTTTTATTTGCTACCTTGATCACTAACAAATTTTAGGTTAAAATGATTGACGCTTTTTTATCTTTCTTTATATTATCTCTTGTTATTCATATCCATTCGCTCTTCCTCTTAGCACCTAATGGAGATAATCGAGGATGAACGCTTCTCCGTGCTCTCTGACCTGTCATTACATGTAGTCAACATTATACACAACGGCCTGGTCCTATGCAAGCGTGACCCAATTTCCCCGAACAAAAGCCAAATAGAACCAGGCGATGCATCTACTGGGCTTTCAGGACCACCAAACTCGAGCACACGAGAAAAGCTAGTGGAAACCGAAGTCATGGAAAGCAACGATATAGCAGAAGACACTGAGACTGCTGCTGCCCAGGCCGAATTGCACGTGCGTAGTGCAGTAGGCATAGTAGAAGCCAGGTTTGATGAGCTTGTTGGGCAGCTGCATACTTTACTAGCTAGGTTTGATACAGCGATTCAGAAGCTGACTGCATCTTGTAGCAAAACGATCAGTTCTGGACTAGTTCTGACTGACGGATCCACTGATATTGAATCTACAGAGCAAGTATTTCAGAGACCACGGATGAGCTGGAGTGCCGACATTCATACCGAAAGGAGCAGAACAAGTGTAGCTGTTGAGGAGAAGGCAAATAAATCTGGCTACTCAATAGTGCATCAGAGGGCACTTTCTGATGATGATGTAAGCTCTTTTGATCTATTCCGTAAACGATAAATGAACAAACCTGACTAATAAGAGTTCTTCCTTTTGAGTACATTTTTAATCAATAATTTTTTAACAATAACTATATAGTAAGAAAACCTTAGGATCATAATAATGCGTTTAGAGACTTCTTCTCAATTTATCTGCAGGCTACATTCTAGTTAGAAGCTATACGAGTTTTAAGGTAGTGCCAAGTAGTTATGCCAGTTTAATCCAAAGAGATATTTCTTTCAGTTTAATAGCTATATTTTAATTGATAGGCGATATGAGATTAATGTTGAAGATTGTATGAATACATACATGTTAAGTCAGATTAAATGGGTTGCTTTACGAATTAGATCATTATTTATAG